TTTTGGGCGGATGCCGTGAGTACCGCGTGCTACGTATTAAATCGAGCCGTCATTAGACCGATACTCAAGAAAACGCCCTATGAACTTTACAAAGGAAGAAAGCCTAACCTTTCCTATTTTCATGTCTTTGGATGTAAAGTTTTCATTCATAATAATGGAAAAGATAACTTGGGAAAATTTGATGCTAAGTCGGATGAAGGAATTTTCTTAGGTTATTCTCTTCGTAGTAAGGCATATAGAGTGTTCATCAAGCGTACTAAGACCGTAGAGGAGTCTATTCATGTTGTCTTTGATGAATTTGATACTCGCTTGGCGAGAAAAGGTATTGTTGATAATGTTGTAGGTTCTTATGATGATGAAGAAGAAATCATTAAGGAAAAGGAACCGGAAGAAGAGAAAACGCAGGAACAAACGGAGCTTCCTAAGGAATGGAGAACATTGAAGAACCACCTGATTGATAATGTCATTGGTGACATAACGCAGGGAGTTTCTACTCGTAATTCTCTTAGGAACACAATTAATCACATGGCCTTTGTTTCTCAAATTGAGCCAACAACCGTTTTGGATGCTATTAATGATGAACATTGGTCTATGGCAATGCAATAGGAGCTTAACCAATTTAAACACAATGATGTTTGGGAATTGGTGCCTAGACCTAATGATCATTCCGTTATTGGCACAAAATGGGTGTTTCGTAACAAACTCGATGAAAATGGAATAATCACTAGAAACAAAGCTAGGCATGTAGCTAAAGGCTACAATCAAGAAGAAGGCATTGATTATGAAGAAACTTATGCACCGGTTGCACGTTTAGAAGCTATTCGTTTATTGCTTGCATTTGCATCTACAATGGATTTTAAACTTTATCAAATGGATGTTAAAAGTGCCTTCCTTAATGGTATCATTCAAGAGGAAGTGTATGTTGAACAACCCCCGGGTTTCGAAGACTATGAGTTTCCCGAACATGTCTTGAAACTCAAAAAGGCGCTTTACGGTCTCAAACAAGCACCTCGTGCTTGGTATGAATGGTTAAGCAAATTTCTTTTGGACCATGAGTTCAAACGGGGTCAAGTCGACACTACTCTTTTTATCAAGAAAGATAACCAAGACATCCTTTTGGTTCAAGTTTACGTAGATGATATCATATTCGGTGCTACTAACGAGGTTTTGTGCAGGGATTTTTCCGATATGATGCAAAGTGAATTTGAAATGTCAATGATGGGAGAATTAAAGTTTTTCCTTGGGCTGCAAATTAGACAATGCAAAGAAGGAACATTCGTGTGTCAAACAAAATATTGTAGGGAATTGCTTAAAAGGTTTGATGTTACCGAATCCAAATCCATTGACACACC